GAAGGAGGGATCTCGGAGGCGGGAGGAGGAAGGTCGAGGGAGGATGGAGGAGTCAGGGAGGAGAGGCACAATCAAGACCATGCAGTAGGGGACCTCCCCAGCTTTCGCCCGGATGCATGCACGCCACCACCTCACCCCAGTATCCTCATACTTCTACGGCTTCCTTTTTCCATGCTTGCAATCATTGGGCTGCGCGCGTGTCCGCCAGCAGCCAGAGGAGGAGGATGAGGAGGAGGACAGCAGCAACGTCGACGACGATGGTGATGCTTGCGATGACGAGTGGTATCATGGGATGCGCGAGGGGAGGATGAGGAGAACGAGGAGGAGGAAGAGGATGAGGAGAACGAATGGGAGCAGGAGGAGGAGGAGGAGGAGGAGCAGGTAGAGGAGGAGGAGGAGGAGGAGGAGGAGGAGGAGGAGGAGGAGGAGGAGGAGGAGGATGAGCAGGACTATTTACGAAAAGTATGTGCAATGACTCTGGAGCGTCCCTCCTGGGGTCTGTTCGGAAGGGGAGAGGATGTAGGAAGGAGGGAGAGCGGCAGGGGAGACGGAGTTGGGCCAGGAGTCACGTGTGGTATTCCGTCTTCTCGCTGGAGCAGTTGTCCAGCGTTCTCAAAGAGGCTGGCCCCAAGGCCTGCTTCATCGGCGCCAACACAGGCGTGCACAGGGCCATATTCCTGGAGCGCTGCGTCCCCTTGATTCCCCACCATCACCCCTTTGGACCTTCAGCAACTGCTCCCTTCCGAGACGACGGCCGTAGGCGAAGGGCGAGGAGAAAGCAAAATGAGGGATTGAGGAGACCAATGAAGTCTTGACAAAGACGAAAGGGGTCATGAGAGAAAAGGGTCCTGCGTGCCGCTCCCCCCGTTCTAGTCTCCCAGGGCATTTTCTGTACTGTCATTACCAGCCTGGAACATATCCCTATCCCTATGCTGGACACCTCCTCATCGCGATGCCAATCTTAGGGAGCCCCTTCTTTTTTGAGGGCGGATCCCTAAGATTGTCATCGCCTTTTGGCGTGCCAATCTGAAGGATAGGGATGTGTTCGAGGCTGGTAATGTCAACTGCATCGAATCGGGACAAAACATTGCTACCGGCGGACACCGCGGGGCCCAGGACCCGCCATGCTCCGAGCCCCGCGCTCCCCCCCCCTCCCGAGCGGATGACGAAGGCGTGGCGCGGAGCCCGGTCCGCCGAGGGCGAAGCCGCCGTGGCGAGGTACGGGGCGTGAAAGTGACCACAGCCACTGCTTTTCTTTTGTTTGTCTGCCGCCCTCCAGCCAGCAGGAGCAGCGCAGTGGTTGTGGCCGTTTTCGTGAGGCTGGGCACCCGGGGAATGACCACAACCGCTGCTTCGTTTTCGGCCGGCTGGGAGGCGGCGCAGACAAGAAGCAGTGGCTGTGGTCATCTTCCCCGTCCCGCATGGAGGAGGGCAGGCGACGAGGAGACGGAGCCAGGCCCCCGACGCCGTGAGGATCGCTTCACGGCACGGGCCCCCAGAGGTCTCGACAGATTCCCCCGGGACCGGGTTCAGAGCCCCGAATCATCAGGGGTAACTCGGGTCAGGGATAATTCGGGTTCGTTTTTTGGGGAATCCAAACCCGAGTTACCCCGGACCCGAGTTACCCCGGATAACTCGGGCGTCCAGAGCCCCGAATCATCAGGGATAACTCGGGTCAGGGATAACTCGGGTTCGTTTTTCGGGAACCCAGACCCGAGTTACCCCGGACCCGAGTTACCCCAGATAACTCGGGCGTCCAACGGGTTTCCACCCCGAGTCGTTTCCTTGACGGTCCCGGGGTGCTCGGTGAGAGCATCGAGGCCGAAGGCAGCGACACAGCTTCCCGTGGGAATGCCTGTTCCCACGGTTCGATGGGGGTCGGGTTACGAGGAGGCAGCGGAAGGCGGCAGGAGTTGTCGGTGTTGACGCCGGCCTGCCGCGCGTCGGCCCCGGCTGCTCTGGAGGCGCGGGCCCTCGCTATCGTCAAGTCGGGCACGCCCCTCGACGGGAGGAGTATTCAAAAATGGTCAAAAAGTAGTCTGGGGGCGATGCTTGAAAATTGTTGGATTTTTTTTGTTGGTCAGTTTCCGATCTGTTGTTCCTAACACGCAAAAAACGCTGTCGTCCGACACCCTCGCTGCAGGAGGGGGACGTGCCTGACCCGGCGCCCTCGCTGCAGGGCCTGCGCCCTCGAAGACGGCGAAGACAAGCCCCCCCCTCGGGCCCCCCTGGCAACCCCCCCTGGAGCGCGCCGCTGAGCGTGATGGGCTTGTTTTCCACCACCACCACCATAAGTAGGAGGAAGAGGAGGAGGAGGAGGAGGAGGAGGAGGAGGAGGAGGAGGAGGAGGAGCAGGAGCAGGAGGAGGAGGAGGAGGAGGAGGAGGGGGAGCGGCTGGAAAGTTTGTACCCCTACGGTGGCACCGTAGGGGTAGAGACTTTCCAGCCGCCCTCGGGGCAGGTGTCCCCGAGGGCGGGAAAGTTTACTGCATACCGGTCTTCGCCCGTTGAGTGAGGGCGGCGCCTGCTCGGTCGCGAGGTGGCGAGGCGTCGCGGCTGGCCGGCCGTCAGAAGCGGGAACCGCTGGGCCCATTCCTCGATACATGGGCGCCTTCTGGCGCCGGGAGGCGCCGGGAAGTCAGCTACGTGAGCTGATTCTCAAACCCCCCTTTTGCTATCCCTCCCTTTCGCCTGGCCCGACAGTGGCGGGTCTTGCTTCATTCCCACGAGTCTTGGAGGGTCGGGGAAGACGTCGGCGGTGGTGTAGTGTATGCTTCTCCCCCGTTTTCCCAGGGAAGCAACGGAACATGTATACACCAGGAACCCGTATACACCAGGATCCGCGTTCCTGTGCGAATTTCAACGCAGGGTCGGGCAAAGCGTCGGTGTATAAAGATCATTTCCTTATGCAGGCCCACCGCAGACTGTTCCACGGACCTTGTGGTGGTCTGAGCGGGCCGTTCTCAGAGAGACAATCCTGGCCGAGAGACTGTCCTGTTTGCGCACATCGGGCTTGCGTTCTGAGAGCACTGCTTCTGTAATTCGAGCACTTTGGGGTTCTAAGGAAATCCCGTGGTAGGCATATAGGAATGCCTGGACCGTCGGCCCCTGCTCAATTTGAGCGCCGTCGCCTCGTTGCGGCCGCAAAGAGGTGGCGGTGAGACGTGCGGTTGCCCTGCGCGTGCGGCGGATCGACGCGCTCGTCCTCTCCCTGCGGATGCGTATCTGAGTGCCGATCGCCCCGAGCACGGCCGACCTCGTCGACCGCTGGTCTTCCTGCCAGCTGGGCAAATGTTGACATCGTCGTCCTCTCCGACGAGCTGGTCGCCGACGCCTTCGTGGGGACCCGACGGCGGATGGCCAGGCGATTTCTGCTCGTACCAGCGATGGTTTCCGCAAGGTTGCCAGCCCCCCCCACCCGCCGCCAATATTCCTGGCGTCTTGCACGTTGGGGATGGCGCCGTTGCGCCCACCCAGGCCAGCGGCCATGGAGCTGCAGGTGACTTAGGAGTCCGTGATGGAGGACGGGCGCGCTCGGGACATTTCCCGCCACCAGGAGGCGAACGAGAAGCGCAGGAAGAAACAACGCCAGCCGTAGGAGGCCCAGCGGGAGGAGGCTCCTCCACCATCTCCACCGCCGAGGGTCTTGATCTGCAGGGGCCCGTACACCCGCGAGGAATGCTTCTTGGCCGCGCCAACTGGGCCGACACCACCGAGGAAATTCGTGCCCGTTGTCGGGCCCATCGCCGCCGCCTCCAGGGTCTCGGGTGTTTCGGGCACCGCCGAGGAAGAGGCGGCGGACACTGCCGCCTCCGCCAGCGCCTGCTCCGCCACGGATGGGGTGGTGAAAGCTGACGGACGCCGGGCGGAAGGAGAGGCGCAGGTTGAAGATGCTGAGGCGCCAAGCTCGTGATCGTGAGCGTTGGAGACTTGCTGAAGCTTTAGATCGGGAGCGTGAGTTGATTGCGCCAGCGTCTGCTGGCGAAGGTTCCATCAACAACGAGGCGCGCCTGGTGGCGAGGCGCCAGTTAAGCATGGAACGCAACCTGGGCACGAAGAGGCATCTGGTGAGAATGCTGGAGCTCTGCGCGATGGAATTGCTCAGGATGGCGATGCACGCGAAAGCGCTGGAGTTTCAAGCGATGGCGCGGGTGCAGCATCTGAGGAAGTTATTCTTGAAGGCTCCAGCGTCAACGAGAAGCTGTCGGGCAGTTTCGGTTTGATGACCGAGCTGGTAGTGCAGAGTTGGTTCACTGTGCCCGTGGATGGAAATATGACGAACGATCAGCTTCTGTCAGAGGTCCTCGGCGTCTCAAATGCCACTGCGTCGCGAGCTACACCACGAACGGGTTTACTGTTTGTTTGGCGGTGTCTTCGGAGTTCTGTTCAGCATGCGTTGCCTTTTTTAGCCACGGCGCTGCATGGCCAGCAGGTCATCCGTTTCCTGTTTCCCAGAGCCAGCACGCGCGCCGCCTCGCAGTCGTTCGTGCATTCGTCCGCGGAAAAGTCCAGCGTGCGGCTCGTCCTCCTTATTATTTTCGTCCTCGCCCCCAGACAACCATGGGGTTCACGAGATAATCACGGTGGGAAGTTTTTCGCTACTGTCGGCCTCTTGGGACCTTCGCCATGCATCGGGACCGTCAAAAAAACAACCCCGGATGGAAACTAGCCCCAGGGAGTGTTTGGTGGTCGACGTCATGAAAATATTCATGACGTCGTTCGCGTGGGTCCGTCGTCATCCTGTTTTCCATCCTTGCGCGCCTTCGGAATCCCCCTCCCTCCTCCACCTTCTCCTCCGGTTTTTCTGCGCTCGCGTGGGCCCTCCACGTTTTCATCATCCTCTTCGTCCTCCTCCCTCGTCTGGTTTTCTGTTCCTCCTTTTCCTCCTCTTCCTCGTGCTCCTCCCTCTTCCACGCATCCTCGTCTTCCCCCTCCGTGCATCCTCCTGGCTTGCCTCTTGATCACTTCTCTCCTCGATCCCCTGCATCCGTTTTTTTTCCG